CATATACTCTATCCCTGATATTGAACACTTTTACCCATAAATATAGCATACCTTAAAACCATATTTTATACATTTAGTGTGTTGTTTTGTAAAAGACACCTTTTTTGTTGATATAATCTTTTATTTACATTCATTAGATTACATAACATATATATATATATATATATATATATATATATATAAAGAAGCAAATGATTTCTATTATTAATACAACAGATTTTAAATACTAAAAATACTATTTAAGTAATAAAATGTATGTATATATATGTATATAGGAAAAAAACAGACACACACACACACACATATATATATATATATATATATATATATATATATATATATATAAAAAAATTAATTGATTTAAAATATGTTTTTTCCGCTACACAGTTCTAACCATGTTTCAAAAATGGAAGCTAAAAGCCCCAAATTTAATTTTGTAATTAAATTAAAGACATTAGTTCCATTTCCTCCTCAAGCAATTTTGGAGTAACTTTTAGCTTCCATTTTTTGAAACATGGTTAGAACTGTGTGAAAAAAAAAATATTTTAAATCAATTAATTTATAATATTAATGCTCTGTAAATTTATTATTGAGCACTATTTTGTAAAATAAAAATATCTGAAGAACACTGGATTATATATCTTACTGTTCTTTCTTTTTATTTATATATACATATATATATATATGTATTTTATAAAAAGACATATTTTTTGTTGATATAATCTTTTATTTACATTCCTTAGATTACATAACATATATATCTATATCTATATATATATATATCTATCTATCTATCTATCTATTCTATATATATATATATATATATATATATATATATATATATATATATATATATATATATATATATATATATCTTTCTATCTATCTTCATATATATAGAACTAACTATGTGTGTGTGTGTGTGTGTGTGTGTGTGTGTGTGTGTTCGATTAAACTTTTGAGAACCATAAGGCATATTTCCACCAAATTTGGAACATAGATTGTACTCGATACTGGGTGTGTCTGGGCAAAAAAATTAGTCATTTTTCAAAAATCAATAACCGATAATTGATAAATATAATATTTAAATGGGAATTTCCATTAGTTTGCTTGTTTTTAAACTTTCAGATTTGAAGTCTAAACCCTAAGGCTGATTTTAATGAAACTTGATAAGTGTATGCAACTTACTGTCATGCTTATTATATGCTATATTGATTTTTGTTTCTCTCGACACTGGGACCCCCAGGGTTCCCCAAAGGGATCCCCAAAAATTCAAATTGCTTCCATTTTGATGAAATTTTGCATGTTTGTTATGCTCTTACAATGAGATAGACATCGGTTGTCAGATTTTTAAAAATGCATGAGGGGGCCTCCAGGATGAGCTTATAAACCCCTTGATGCCTCAATTGCTTTTCAAATGTATTTTGTAGCAGTATTCCCCAATTTCAATGAAAATTTCAGTACATATTGAGATTATATTGAGTAACTGGAGTAGTCACTTGGAATTCATTGAAAATCAACACTGGGACCCCCACGAGTTAGGAGACCAGCAGGGAACCCTGAAATTTTCAATTAAGCCTTGGCCATAAAGTCAATTAAATGGAAAACTTAAAAAAGATGTGCTTTATTATTTCAATTACTATTAGTCGTAAACCTGTCCTTTGGCTTGAAATTTGGGACCCCTAGGGTAAACCAAAGGGACCCCCAAATTTTCAAATTGCTTCGATTTTGACGGAATTTTACATGTATGTTACAATCTTAAAATGAATCAAAAGCGATTATCAAATTTTGCAAAATACATAAGGGGCCCCCAAGATGACCCATGAACACCTTGCTGCACCATTAGTCCTTCAATTGTAGTGGTTAGCAGCATTCCGATGAAAATTTGCACATAATTTGTGCATCAATCAAGTCAAAATCAAAACTGACACCCAATGTGTCATAAGTACATTATGAAAAATATCAGTTTTTCCCATGGATTTCCTATTTTGGTACTGAAATAGTTTAGTTTGCATTAACTTGACGGCAAAAATTATATCCTTCCTTAAGAAAAAAAGAATAAGTGCAAACGAAAGTGTGCACCGATGAGAGAAGTGCACATAGGTATAAGACGCGTGTGCGAGATCGATTGAGATGTGTAGTGTGTACAATTGATTTTGCTCCACGTGCAATGATTGATCGAGTTATGTAGTGCGTACTATTGATTTTGTTTCATGTGTAGTGTTCATTAGTGCTATGTGATGAAATAAATGCAAAAAATCTCATTCGCATCAAAGTTGTCATCTAGTGAAAAGGTAGGGTGTCTTCATGCATGTATATTTTTTGATTTTTGATACTTTCCAATTTAAATTTGTGAAAATCATATTAAAAAAAGTTTAAGCGTAAATGCTAATTTTTAATTATGTATTTATCATCTTCTAATTAGCGTTTAAATAATGCTTACTAACTCATATATTTGGAAACTTGAGCCCTAAAATTTTGACAGTTTTATTCTGAAAAA